AAAGGTATTTTGCTGTGTAACCAAAAGTAATGGACAGTAGTGAATGACGTTAAAAGGCAATATTTGAACAAAAATACTTTCCATATTTGTGCTTACATAATTTAAGTTCAAAGGAGAGCTGAAGAGAATGCTATCGAGTTGAATTCGTGAAGGAATAGCTCAGAATCGAATGGCGTTGAAGTTTTTAAAGGAATATAAATGAAATATCGTGGGATTATCATTTCAGAAGGCAGTAATGTGTCTACAGAATGCTCTGTCACATTTCGTGCTGGTCTTTCTAACTCAAAAAGTGAAAATAGATGAATCCCAATCAGTTAATATAGCAAGCTCACTTCTCAAATACTCAAAATTACATCGAGAGGTCATATGTCGTCTTCATTTGCAATTAATCATTCGTAAATAAATCGAATAATAAGGATAATTTTTCAGATTAATGAATATTTCTGTAATTAAGCTTATGTTTTCTACAGTCAACATGTTTCACCACAGATGTAATATCTATTAAATTACACAGTAATTGTTAGTACTGCAAATGGCCAATGATGTTGATAAAGTATTGTAAAACAAGTCAAAGTGTTCTCGATAAAAATTACAGTTGTAACTGTATACAATTTTGTATTACGCTTTAATGGAAATCGTTCATTTCAAATTTCATTTATTTCTTTTCACTGTGGTATGATCGGAATTATTTTTGAATAATCAGAAGGATAAAAGTAAAGGTTAGAAAAAGTTCTACTTCGTAAAGGTTAGAAAAAGTTCTACTTCTGAATATTAAGCTACCTCTTTCTGTGCATTCACTCATTGGACATAAAATATCCTTTTCATTTATGCGTTTAAGCAACCGAAATTTAAGTTTAAATGTGAATTGAAGGCGATGCAGTCATCAAATATACATGAACTGCCTGTGATATCATTAACAAAATATAGTGGAAACCATTTATTCTCCGAAAATTTGACCCTGATGAATACAAAGACATTTCGAGTTCACTCTTAATTAAATTAAAATTTTTACCTATTAATATATTTTCCTTATTACTAATACTTGTATTTAATACTCAGTTCGCATGTTGATATCACAGAAATCTGACGATTGGTATTCTTAGTCATTTCGTTTCTGTTATAATTCTACAATTATTATGTAGCAAATTATAAGCTTTTTGTAATCACGAAATAATTTATATAAGTTAATATAAATCACAGAAAATTATCAGTTGTCATTGTTATAATATTAGCCTGGTTGAGATAAAATCATCAATATTTTTACTTCTTAACTGATAAAATTAAGATATTGACGACTTTCGTTAATGACAAAAGATTGATGACATTCATAAAAATTGTTTCTGTTGTCTGTTTTCCATTAAAGTGATATCAGTAATCGTATTACATCGTACAATTAAGTAATCATTGATGTTACATACGATTAATGCTTAAAGAACATAATATCAATTATATGATACATGGAAAAGATTGAATGAAATAAATTATAGTGCTATAATAAGCATAATTTATTTGATTTTTCATTTGATGCATGAGCTCTTTTAGATCACTGATCTAATAATGTTTTAGATCAATAATAATGTTTATTTGATATCTAAAGATCACTGATCTGATTTATGTTTGCTTCATTTTTGTAAGACTTTTGTTAATGAGAAAAGATGGATGACATATGAAAATTACTTTGATTCCGTTGTAAGTGAAAAATTATAAAGGAATAAAGTTTTTATAGCTTGAATTTCAAGAGATTATCACTATATATGATGCAAAATTTTTTAGATAGATATGCGAAATTCACGTATTAAAACTTGGGGTGAAGCATTTTATCGTTCTCAGTTTAACTGCTTGATAGCGCTGCAAATAGATCACGGTAAAAAGCTATTATTAATTTTTTTGTAATAAAAATAATCCGTGATTTGAAAAGCATACGTCTACATGTATGCGTGATAAAAACTGATTGCTTCAGTACTGTAGTATAAACCTGGCAGGAATTTCAAAAAATTGAAGTAATTTAGATTATCATTATCATACACAATCACGAACACACCCTGCTCAAGTACATTCAGACCATGAAAACGTAATCTCTACTTCATTTCAGGTAAGCTATTTACTGAGCTAAATTTCAAAATTTTTAGGTAAAAAATTTGATTTTAAAACTGAGCAAACTAATAAATGATAAAAATTTTTTTTGTTGCACAGTGTGTCTGGTTTTAGCTAGATCATTTATTACCTTTTTTGGTTCAGTATAAATGTACAAAAAAATACTCCTTATTCTTTTTACTGCCAATATTTTGGTGCCTATTTGAAACGTGTGTAAAAAGTAATAAAATTGTAATATGCTAAAGCATATTAATTTGGAGATTTTCGAAAAAATTAATATGCTGAAGAATTTTTTTTTAATTGATGATTTTTGAAAAAAGACCTACTCAGGTACCAATGATAACAGTAAACCAGAGTAGTCGATGCCAAGCTTTAATTTTGAGTCCACTCCGTTTAATGCGAGTAATTGCAGAAAGGAAACGGCTTTATAGGTTTATTAAGTTTTATGCTAATTTTTTTTTTTGAAATTATCTTGAATAGTTTAGGCAAAAGGTAAACCACAGAACAAGGTGTAGACATTCCATGATTTTTACTTTACTAAATAAGTCATTATTTCAGGTTTATTTTTAGCGTATAACAATAATTTAATTAATATTTTCATATAATTGGAAAAGATCAAATCAGTTTTGATAGCAATTTACAGGAAAAAGGATCAGAAATTTATTTTTGGTAATGAAATGGATGAGCGAAAATCCTGCAGAATTGGTTTGTTGTTCATGTTTCAGTTATTATTAGTGTACTAAATAAATTAGAAAAGGCTTAATCCGTTTATTATTTTCTTTAGTATTAATAATGATGATAGCACAGCTAGTAATGCCATGGACTTAATGCTAACAAGTTAAAAAATTACTTTCAATTCACTAACATTGCGCACTTTTAAGGTGAAGGTGGTTTTGGTTCAGTATTCCGTTACGTATACAATAATCGTGACGTAGCTATCAAGCAATTACATCGCAGTCGTCATTCACCTACGTCTGATTTTCATTCATTCTGCTCAGAACTGAATGCTTTCCGTTTGCCTCCGTCGCCGTATGTTGTGCAGACTATTGCATTCACGTCGTCAAAAAGCTGCATGCAAGTAATTTTGTTCAAGAAAAATTTTAAGTAATTTTTTAGAAAAACGTCGAAGAAAAAAATGCATTTCTGCCTTTAAAAAAAATATGCAATAAAATTATTGCATATTGTATTGCACATTTTATGCATTAAGATTACGACCGATAGAATTTTAATGCTCTCATTATGTTTAATATTTTAATCTTGCTGAAATAAAAGAATTCTGGGAAAAAAAGAATATAAATTACATTGTTGAATCGTATATATTGTTGTATTTCACATTTTATTGTAGGTTATAACAGAATTTATTGAAGGCAAAAATTTGCAACAATTAATCAACGATGAAACTTGGCAAGTAGACATTCACCAGCGTCTACAACTTGCACTTCAGGTTAATTGTGTAGTTTTTGTTTAATTTTGTTCTTGGACTAAACAATGTTACTACGAATACGAAAATCATAGAATAATTATTTATATTTAATTCTCTTGAAAATACGGGTAAAATTATATTGTACTTTGATTTCATATTTCTGGCAAAAGAAGTAATATTACTCAGCTAGCCATCAAAATTTTACTTTTCACTTCAGTCTTTACTTTTTATGCATAGGTAACAGACATGCGTATCATTTGTAACTGAAAATCTAGATTCTGAATTTTGATAGAATCATTAAAATTCTACAGATTATAAGTGGTTTGGTACATTGTCATAGTCATTTACTGCTTCATTTGGATGTAAAACCAGCAAACATTTTTGTGGACGCTACTTGTAAAAAGTGTAAATTGTCTGATTTTGGTTGCTCAAGAACAGCAGTAAGTACGGAAACGGATATATTGCACGCTGAGATAACAAGAAGCTCATGCTTTGGCACTGTAGCTTATAAGGCACCAGAACTTCTGAAGGTTCATACTTTTGATGTTATATATATATATATATATATGTCGTATACCAACAATGGCATTTCTTTCTAGTTATTGTTCCAACAACATTCCAGGGTTTAGATGCAACCGATCGAGCTGATATTTATTCATTTTCATTGGTTTTATGGGAACTTTTAGCAAGAAAAGCAGCTTTTGATAGGGTACACCCACATGTTCTTATTTACGGTATTGTTGCTAGAAGGATAAGACCAAAAATTGATGAATTGAATTTTCTTAAAGGTTTGTAAGATTAAGCTAATTCAAGAAAGGCACAATTCTTATGAAGCTTAATTGAATGTAGACGCACTTCAATGGTATTTTTTCTCAAAATTAGCTGCAATATACATACTCTTCGTAATTTTTCATCCTTATTCAAATAATTTTAGAATAATGATTTCAGAAAAAAAGAATGAAGAGTTGGTTACACTATTGCAAAATGGCTGGTCTGAGAAATTAACGAAACGTCCACGCGCTGTTTCTGTTCAACAAATAATTAAAATGATTGTTTCTTCAAAAACAATCTTCAGTGAAACGACTGGCAGTTGACAGAAACAGCGGTCGTATTGAAGTTTTTCTTAAACAGACCACCGACCTTACAGATGCCATGTCTACTTTTTATACTATGATTTGTATTTTAAATTTGTCCTTCAGTGAGAAGACTGGAAATTGATCAAGCTGGTACTTTCAACCGACTCAATTCCATTAATTTGAAATAACA